GCTGCTTCTTGCTCTGCCTGAGGGCTGCTGGGAGCAGGGGGTGGGGCTTGTTCAATGTGCCTGCCCCCTGGGCTCTTTACTGCCGGAGCTCCGCTCCTGTGCGCTCCTGCAGGAAATGACCCCTGTAAAGCCCCATCTGGAAGAATTGCCAATGTCAGGCAAGGATATTCTTGGAGATTTGGGGGTGGGGCCTATGGAGGGGGAAATCTGGGGAGAGATTTCACCTACTGTTTATGGTATACCATACAGCCCACCATTTTCTCAAGGGAAACTGATCTCTGTGTTTTGGAGATGGGCTGTAATTCTGGGGGAACTCCAGCCCTCACCTTGAGGCTGGCAACCCTGTAATGGTAACCCAGGGCTCTTTTTGTAGTAGGAACTCCTTTGCATATTAGGCCACACCCCCTAATGTAGCCAATCCTCCAAGAGCTTACAGAGCTCTTCTTACAGGAGCTACTGTAAGCTCTTGGAGGATTGGCTACGTTAGGGGTGTGTCACTTAATATGCAAATGAGTTACTGTAACCCTCCCCAAGAGTTGGCAGTAGGAAGGGAGTAGTCTAAATGTGGCCCTATTATCATCTGTGAAATTTTGGAGGGTATGTTAAAAATCAACTCCGCTAGTCCAACGCCCAGTGGACTTGCTTCCTGGGAAGTCTGGTTTCCAGATGAGCATGGAACGTGGAAGTGGAGGTGCCACCTTTCGGAAAGCGGCCACTGTCATCTGGTTGTGTGTGTGTGTGTTGTGTGTTTTTTTAAAAAACAGATCTTTTCCACCCCTCACGGTCTGGAGGTCCACGTCCGAAGATCGCACAGCGGCACGCGGCCTTTCGCTTGTGAGGTTTGCGGCAAAACGTTTGGGCACGCGGTGAGCTTGGAGCAGCACGCCAACATCCACTCGCAGGTGGGCTGAGCGGCAGGGAGGCCACGGGCCTTGGTGGGTCAAACTGGTCCCGATGGGCATTTCTACCAGGCACCGCTTTTAAAATCTCTTGTCCCCTTGGGCAGTTGTCTTGGGGGGCCACTGTGAGAGCTAAGATCCCAGCCCGTGGTCCTCAAAAGGATGGTCTGGCAGTTCCTGTCACGGACACCATTCCTTCTGCCCTCCCTCCTTGGAGGAGTAATTCAGGAATTCGGGTTGCCAACCTTCAGGTGAGGCCTGGTGATCTCCTGGAATCAAAACTTTTCTCCAGACGACAGAGGTCATTTCTCCTGGAGAAAATGGCTGCTTCGGAGATAGGGTTACTGAAACAAGAAACACTAAACTCAAAAAGTGGGCTGCACCTCAAAGGCTCCCCCCGGGCCCTACTAGAAAAAGAATCATATACAGTAAAAGTGTAAATGTTCCACCACCAATGAAAATTCACAGATAGTAACTCTGTTGAAAAGAGTACAACACTACAGTCAAAGATAAAACTGTAATGAAGTCACAAAATTTACAAAGGCACAGTTGCCAAATGAACAAATAGGATGTAGTCAAGGAAAACCAAACCATACAATAGCTGAGACATCCTATAAAAATGGAAACGAGAACATTCAGAGATTACAAAATATTATGTACTGTGAGCCAGTTTGGTGTAGTGGTTAAGTGCACAGACTCTAATCTGGGGGAACCGGGTTGGGTTTGATTCCCCACTCCTCCGCTTGCACCTGGCTGGATGACCTTGGGCAAGCTGTAGTTCTGATAAGAGCGGTCCTTGAAAAAGAGCAGTTTCTGCCAGAGCTCTCTCAGCCCCACCTACCTCACAGGGTGTCTGTTGTGGGGAGGGGAAGGGAAAGGAGTTTATAAGCTGCTCTGAGACACCTTTGGGTAGTGAAGGCGGGGTATAAATCCAATCTCCTCCTCCTCCTCCTCCTCCTACTGGGATCGAATAATTCCTGATTGAATCACCCTAGAGACTGGCTGAGCTTGGAGCATAAGAACAATAGCCTGCCAGGATTCTGAAAGTAACCAGTCTAGTAGTAATGCCATGTAAATAGCCTATCACTGGGAATGGGGTGTGTTTGGGTGTGGCAACTGCATGCTAGTTAACAGAGCTGAGGCTCTGGAGTCTTGTCTTGTGCTGGCTGAAATCACTAATAAAGTAGAACTGATCACTAGGCTTGTGGTCTGTTCGTCCATGGAACCCACTATTTTACTTACTTACTCACTCTGTGTGTACCCTTTCTCCCCAATGGGGACCCAGAGCAGCTTGCATCATTCTCCTCTGTTTTATCCTCACAACAACCCTGCGAGGTGAAATACAATGGGTATCCTGTAAATGGAGATAGGGTTGCCAGCTGAGCTCTGGGTTGGGGAATACCTGGAGATTTGGGGGGGTGGAGCCTGGGGAGGGCGGGGTTTGGAGAGGGGAGGGGCTTCAGCAGGGATGTGACGCCACAGAGTCCCCCCCC